CATTTTGATTTTTAATAAATTATATTTAAAATGCATATTTATTAATACTGGTTTATATGTAACGTATATAATTTATTATAAAAAAAAAATGTTACAAGTCGATTGATAAATGATAAGATATAATAAGGACAATTAAAAAAATTAAACTAATTTTATGGTGAATATAGATGTAAAGTAATAAGATTTAATCTAATTATTTTCACATTAACAAGATGTAATTATTTTTATACAAGTTACTTCTACTCTGATATTTAAAATAGTTATAAATATTTATTATAAAACCTTGATTATACGAACATTTTGTTCCTTATAGAAAAATTAAAATCTACCAAATGAATAATAAGTTCTTAATAGAACTGTCTTATTTAATTTGAATACTATTCAATAGTTTTGGGTTGCATTTAAAATTAAAACTCTAGATAATTCCAATTATAGTCTTACTTTAATATCTTAAAGATTTCTTATACATCTTAAATAATTAGACGCTTTGGGCTTCTATTCTGAATTTCTTTAGAAAGAGTTTCTAGGTTTGAAGACCAAGTCAAATAGCAAAAAAATAAAACTATGTGGAAACATTAATAAATCTTTTATAAATTACTTATAATAAAACTTTAATTAATTTACTCAAATACTATTTAAAAATTTTAGAAAAGTAGTTAATTAATTGTCTATGTGCCATGAGATTTAGGTCCTGATTGTTACTTCTACTTCCATATGTATTTATGATATATAACATTTTTCTCATTCTCCTTGTAGATATTGCCAAATATTTAAACTAAAATTTTATAAAATATAGTAATATAACAGAAATAGATTTTAAAGTATATGTTTAGGATTCACTTTAGAGATGACGAAATATCAGTATAAACATTGATTAAACGAATGTGGTGAAGGTATGATGTTGGAAATATCAATATAAGGCATAAAAAAATAGATAAATATAAAGGGCTAAAAATATCGTTTTTAAAGAAATTCAGATTGTTAGATAGGAAGTGTTTACTATAAAAATACTAATTCTTAGTAAATAAAGGCATTGCTAGATTGCGATATTGATCAATCTATTCAGACAAAAAGTATTGGTATGACTGAAGCTCTTATTGTTGCAATGCAATGATATATAA